TAATAATAATAATAATAATAATAATAATAATAATAATAATAATAATAACAATAATAACAATAATAAAACTAGGGAGCATAATTTAGATCTCCAAAAAGAGAGACTAACAATATGAGATATAATTAGATTTCTAAAATGGAAACTGATAAACCTGAGCATATAACACATCTGTGACATCAAGGTAGTTAAGAAAATTAAATTAATAGATATAACCATAGCAGGAGATGACTGATCCAACATGAAAATCATAAAATATCCTGATTAAGGATTGGAAATTCAAGAACTGAAGAGAACAGAACGATAATTATTAATTAGTGTTGTAGTGCCAAAGAATTTGGAAAAATAACTGAAGAGAATTAGAACAGAGAGGATAATAATGGAAGTAGTATTGGATAAATTAATGGGAACCGCAAATACGGTAATATTGATTGGTAGACCTAAGGTCCGAACATTAAACTTCCATTATCCCTCGTAGAACATCAGACGACAGAGCAACAACTCCGGTAACTTTTGATGAAAGTAAAAGCGTTTATGTGAAAAATAATCATTTTCATTCGAATGACAGGTGAATGGGATTTGATGACGTCAGTACTGTCTACGATTACCACTTTTATCAGGGTCAGTTAATGACACCTTCCACTAAAATTTACATCCCCTTCCTGCCTGAAACTTAAAATCAGTATTCGACTTTGTGAACCAACTATTATTTCTTTAAAGATAACAAACAAAAGTTTGGTAATGTGTAACATCAACCAAACACAATGAAAGTGATGGTTGAGTACGACGATGAACTTCTTAAACCAGCCAGTTATCAAGATGGAACAGTTATCAAATTTTAGAACGCACTTTCATCAACAGTTACCAAATTTTAAATAGAAATACTTTTCTATCAAAGATGATACAGAAATGATTATATAGAAATTGAGATCGCAGTTATCAATTGTATTAAAAGATGTACTTCTGTTTGATTAACGAAAGAATGATGAAACATGATAAAGGCGAAATGCGATTATTATATAGAGAGAATAGCAGTAGAAATTTTACCAGACTTTGCCAAATTTTGAGAAAAAAGGATGCAATTGTAAGATTTTCATGGGTAATAAAAGCTCGTCCTCTCAAAAAAAAGCATCATCATCTTACAGATATTAGACAAAAAAGATTTTCTGTTCATAGCGGGATAGAAACACTATTTTCCGACACATATATTTCCAAATTTTAAAATTTCAAATATTCGTAGCAGATGAATATTGCTGTCTGTCTGACTTTAAATGAGATCTTTTACTCTTCACTGGTAAAATTGCTAGAAGACAACGATCATGCAAACACATTATATACAAACCCACTACCTATGAAATATCTACAAATCTACACTGGCAACAAACTCATTTGCATATCTTAAATTCGAAAAACTTTGAAGACCAATCAAATTTTGAGATCTCTTAGGACTTTCCCATACAAATAATTTGTTCCACGTTTTCCGACTTGGAAGATAACAACATTTCTTATCTAGATCCTAAGAGCAATCGAGACCACAGAGAAAAGCTTGTAAAAGCTGAAAACGACACAGAAACACGCATTAAAAAAACATAAAAACATGAATTGAACTGATAACAATTGGAACAAAAGGTAATTCTGAACAGGCTAACAAGTAATCTTTCAACAGTATCGTGTACGCTTTGGCGGTGAATCGTCCTCAACGGTTTGCCGATTCTCATCGTTAGTTCTATCTTCGTCTATTGATTTCTTAATAATGACTCCTTCTGGCGGAACGTGGAAGTCTTCTCTTTCGTTCTGGAAGCATTAACTTTAGCAAGCTATATAATTAAACTAATTTGTTCCACAAAATATTCAGACCAGATCCATGCAAAAAATTAGATAAACTGCAAATACTAGAGAAAAAATTTAAATCGTATATGGAAATGGATTTGAAATGAATCGAGAATAAGTTTTATAAATGAAGCAATCTCCAAAATTTAATCTGTTTGCTGCAGGTAAAACTGACTTATGTGTTACAGGGCTCACATTTAAATATCATAGTATGAGAACAGCAATGTTTAAATGATGCAGAAATACAAAGCCTACAAGTTTTCGGAGTAATAATTAACTAAGACCAGCGGTGAGAAACAATGAGAGACGTATATATGCCACTCAAATAAATCCAGAGATCTTGTGAGCTATAAACTAAAAAATCATCAATTTTCATTAAAAGTGTTTCAATTTCTGCAAGCAAGCTAAAAACTTAACGCGCAATAAAATTCGGGAATCTGGAGAAGTCATCGAATGCTTTACTCAAACTCACAAAAATATTTGTCACTAAAAATATTTGGTGTCAGCAAAAGGAAATGAATACGTAATTTTACTAAGAGAAATAAAACGCAAGGAAACGAACTGGAATTGGGACTTCAGTGAGTGTAGCGTGAGCAACTTCAAAATACGCTCGAAGTTTACTAGGCGATGTCCGCTGCACCTTATTGGAGGAACTGCAAAATGGAATCAGCACAGGACGTTGTGACAAATGAATCAACTTCAATAAAAAACTGTTGGAGGAATGGTTTGCCTTTACCCCATTTTTCTAGCAAAAGCTGCGCGTGCGGCTGCATCTTTGAGAATCGCATCGGCTTCACTAACAGATGCATCGTTACTACTGCTGGCGGCATCATCCTCTTCTGTTGGTTCACCCATAGTTTCCAAGGCAGGTATGTGTATACCATCAGGCCCATCATGCGCAATTCCACGTTTACGCAACTGCAAAGCATCATTTTTTTTCGGAACTTGATAGTCATGGGTAATAATCATACAGCTTAATACAGCTTAATCAGAGATAATTTCTTGAATATTCAAATATGAAAAAAAAAACTATTACTTTCCATTTCACAAGAAGAGAATCGACTTACGTCCTGAACGAAACCTCTCAGTTCGAATGCTTCCACATCTCCCAAAAAGCCACCTTCTAACCTTTGCATATTTTCTTTATCTGACACATCGAAAAGAAATTTTTTATTGAGTAACCTAAAAATAATAACAAGTAAAATGCAAAGTATATTAAAATTATATTAGTTTCTTCAGAATGAAAGTAAACTAAGAAGTATAATAAAATTAATTTCAAAATCACAAGTGCAGAAAACTCAAATAGTTCCGGAGTTAAAGAATTATATCGACGTAAGCTAACGCAGTTCAGCTTGAACAAGTAAGCTCACCTTGAAAAGTAAGTAAGGTTTAAGAGTATCACAAAACTGACAATGAAATTAATGCCTAAAAGTTATTTACCGTTTTCGGATTGTTTCACCCCTCGCCCTTGTGATAAATTTCCGATATGCTACCATACACATGTATTCAATGATTGATCCAATAGTCTGTGGACTTCTTTCATTCATCTTTTCCGCATACATCAAAAAAAGAAAGAACTAGAGGAAAATGTATCCTGAAGAAATTTAAATAGTAATAACAATAATATTGATGTTTAATTTTAGAAGTACTATAGCAAATATTCCCTCACGAAACGTTATCACAGATTATTGTAGTAAAAAAACGATCAGCAGCAACAGAGCGGAGGAGTAGAAGAATATTACAATTCAGTGTCGTACAATGTATTACTCCTACCAGAAATTTCAGAATGGAGAAATGGTGAAAAATGGAAAAACAAAGAAGGGATTTCGTATTTCTGCATTTGGGTCCTAATTTAGTATTAGATTTCTTCAAGATGTTTTACAACTAATCAAGAAGAATGCAAAAAAATAAAAAATAAAAAAAGGAATTCCGGGAACTGTTCGTATTAATTACTCTGATAGACTTCATGACTCGAGCTTCTTAAATGGTCTCACTTATCTCTCCTTCCTACTAACTCTATTATCCCTTGATAGAATCCAGTTTGTATATGTTATTGCAGGTTGGTGAAGAAAATCAAGCAAGACTAGAAAATAATAATGCGTAAATCGATACAAACCAGATATGCCAGTTAACGTCGTGAATTCTTCAAGTTTTAACTTGCAATATCCTTAATGTCCTGTAGTCACAAATGAACTGATTCTAATTAACTAAATCTCGATGACAACATTAATATCAGTTATAGCTAAAAGACACATCCTATCCAGGAAGCCACTTCTAGGATGCAAATTTCGAGTCATCTAATATTATTGTTCCCCACCTGATCAATAATAGAAGGATGTATACATGATATTATGAAAATAAACTGAGGTCAGATAGAGAGACCTGCAGATGGAGCAGAGAGAAAACAGCCAAAGATCTTTAGAGAGGTCCCACTCAAGACACTTGTTCACCCTTCTGCGACATGCAAATAAACAACTGAAGTAGAGAAATAGGATTACTGAACGTAAACAACGACTTACGTCGGGTGATAGCAAAGTAATGACACCTCCTGAAAGAATCGATTCTCGTAGTAAAGATGCAATTAAATGAAATCCACTGCTGTTCAACTGTCTAAAAAATAGAATCGGAAATCAGGATGTTCGCCGTACTTTGCTGAAATAAAAACAATACTTGACGACAACGACTCTGACCTGTTAGCTAATATCTCTCAAACCAGAACTGTTGCATCATATGACCGAAATATCGGAAATATATATGCGGAGATTCGTACACTGTATTTCATGTTGATCTCTTTAATAATGATGAACATATTAAGCATCACCTTTTTTCAAGCAAGACCGACCATTTTACTTTTCCACTAGCTGTTCAGTTAACGATACAGGCCCTATTAATAATACACAGATATTTTTAACGGTATTAATATCCAACAAAAACGAAAAGTTATGAACGAAGTAAGAATTTCAATTTACTTCAAATTAAAAGAGAATAATAATAATAATAAAGAAAAATAACAATTAATAGTAATTGATAACTTACAATGAGAGTAACTAATAATTAATAATTAGTAATAGTAATAATTGGTAACTAATAATAATAATGGCAATAATAATAATAATAATAATAATTAATAATAATAATAATAATAATAATAATAATAATAATAGTAATAATAATAATAATAATAATAATAATAATAATAATAATAATAATAATAATAATAATAATAAATAATAATAATAATAATAATAATAATAAT